CCCGAATTTAAAGCTGGATCCGCCCCTGCGTGAAAGTCCTACATATATTTATTTAGAAAGCGTTTTATTAACAGTGAACATAAAATACAGCAAATCTATTAGATGGAGCACATTTCGAGGACAATTGCCGGTTTTACCATATTTACTAATATGATCCTAACGAATTATTTGTATATGTCTACCACCAGCTTTGGGGTTTTTGCGGCTATTTATGGCACTTTTAGTAGTAAAACGTTCCATTTGAGTACCTACTCTACTGACGTTATTTTCTACAAGGATTATAAGCTTATAAGCAATTCAGCACGCGGAAGGATACATGCCTAAGGACCAACCTATGGCTCGAAATAACGTTAATAGCTCATAAAGATTTCACAAAACAAAATAAATCCGAGAAACTGGGATTCACCCATTTGAAGGCGATATTTACAACATTAAATATTTGTGGAAGGAGTCAACATATTTTTTGTGAAATATAAACCATTAAGCAGCTAGCAGCAAGTTTTAGGGTCGTTTGTCTATCAGCAGCACCTTCTGGGATCCTTTATGTTTGTGTTTATCTAATATCATCTGCACTTAATTCGAATTTAACGCCTTTCTTCAAGGGGTTTTTCAATTAAAAAGTCTTCTAATTTCAGCAGAAGCTACGGCTCTAACAGGTTCTAGCTAGGAAAAGGTCAGTTTTTATGTTCACATTTTAAAGTTTGTCATGAAACGCTACCATCAAACTTACAGTCGGTCTATTAAACAAAATGATCGAAAATTCACAACCTTAGTTTGAAGAATTTTTTTGAAGTGACAAGTTTTTATGGGAGGGTGAACCGATTTTAGTGCGGGTGCATCTGTAGATTTGATAAACTTTTCAAATACACATTGCGTTATTAAACTGACAATGATTTTAATTTATCAATTATTGAGTGTGATATTATTGTGTTCGGTGCGGTTTATTTTATAACTCTGATAACAATGAATCAACAAATTATCAAGGGAAAAGCTGCAGATACTGCAAATACTAGGTAAAGGGTGCTCATGTACTAAACGCCTGTTCGAGTTTCGCCTTTTTTT